GCAACTAGAATCGTAACGCGAACTAAGGATCGGACCGCCATAATGTCACTAGAACCAGGTTCGACCGAATGATCAACGAGGTGCAATCATGTGGATCAAGTCATGTAATATGAAAGGTGCGGAATTATCATCAACCCTATAACCGCATAAAGATTAAAAAAAAGGAAAGGGAAAGGAACCAGCAGCAGCCTTGAACCCACATAGACAAAATGTTTTTGAATCAAACGACACATGAGTGTGTGACTTCGTCAGTAGGGAGTTGATCCCCGGCCAATTCTACTGAGGGCGGTACGTTGTTTGACGGTAAAGCTGTCTAGAACTGTCTAGAACTGTCTATGCCTTGAGCCTACCAAATCGAAAATATGCAGGATATTTCTTAGCGCAAATCACATCCACTGACAGAATTTTTACAAATGGTCAAACAGTAAATTCTTCAGAGTATCCAACCTAATGACAGCATAATGTGAATTCAAGAGTGTCCATCTGCAAGAGACCTTTTATACCTGTGTGCAGAGTGTCATATCCAACTGACAAGTTGTCGTTTCTGACCTATAGTGTGATACGAAACTATAGATTGGGTGGAGGGTGTACGGCAAAATGCATAAGTCTGCTCATATGACTTTGGAGGGCCCAGCGTTTTTCTTTTTGTGAGCGAACAATATCACAAAATAAAGAGGTTGGCACAGTGTTCAGAGATCACGCCTCCTTGATGAATAGTAGCGTGTATCTGACGACCAGCTGTTAATCCGACCAAACATATATAGGCCGATCTGTTCCACAGTTGGCGTACTTCTGAGCTCGCTGCAGCACATCAGTAAGACTACGATCCGAAACGTTTCGAACTCCAAGAACTCCCCGAGCGTAAAAACCCACAGCTGCAATCCATGTGGAATCTGTGAAATCAACAGCAGACGGTCGTATCAAACCTTCTTGAATACATGAGGCAGCTGTCCACGTGTTAGTATTATGGCCAAAGATGATCTGCTGAACAATCTGTGGTTGGGGTCGTTGTTCGAAAATCACCGGTTGGAGTTTTGCAACAATAGCTAAAGGCTTGTTGTTGCGATCATCGAAAATAAATCAATGGCTTCAATCAAGGAGTGGTTTTCAGGACGCATGAAGATCGCTTCAGTCATGACTCGAATGGCGGCACGAATATGAATTTCATGTTGATTAAAAAGCATGTCATGTCCACGAGAGATGTCCCGTGTAAGAAAATCAGGCAAATCCTGACAGTGACGTTTGGATTCTTCCGGTGTCAAATAATCCGGAAGGCGAGAGTAATGTGCAAGATTCGCAACCCAGCACTGTTGTTGTTCTTTGATCCGATGTAATTCAAAGGCATTCTGAATCCGACTGGTATCTTGAAACAGTGGTGTACGTCTGCGAAGACGTATCATGTCATACAATGTGAACCAGTCAGTTTGGGTCAAATCTGAAGTGAGTAATGGACAACGGAACACCACCAAAGAAGGCGACGTCCACAATCGTATGCCAGAACCAACGTGATATTGATCGAAGGAAGTTTAGAAGTCAAACTTCCGACAATATGGAGAGATGAAAAAGCAGTCAGCAGGGAGAAGAGTCAGAAGAGACAAGATCAGAAGAAAGAAGATGCAGGTGCGCGAAAAGGTAGGAAAGTCGCGAAACACTGTGTTTTTTCGTGGTTTTGTGGCTCCGGAGGGTTGAAAAGTAGGCTCGCTAAAGTGGCGGGTGCGGAGACATCTGGGGAGATGAGAGATGAAAAGTTGCACGCCGTTGTGGCGCGAAGCCGATTTCGAAGTGAAAAGGTACAAAACACCTCAGCGTCGGACCACTTTTGGAAGTTGAGATGTTGGAAAAGTGCACGGCGTTGTGGCGCGAAGCACATTTGGAAGTAACATGTGTTAAAAACTGAGGGGTTCGGAGCATTTTGGAAGTTGAGACGTTGAAAAAGTGCACGCCGTTGTGGCGCGAAGCACATTTCCAAGTCAAAATGTACAAAACACCTCAGTGTCGGACGACTTTTGGAAGTTGCGATCTCGAAAAAGTGCACGCCGTTGTGGCGCGAAGGACATTTCGAAGTAAAAATGTTAAAAACACCAGGGTCTCGGACCACTTTTGGAAGTTGCGATGTAGAAAAAGTGCACGCCGTTGTGGCGCGAAGCACATTTCGAAGTCAAAATGTTAAAAACACGTCAGCGTCGGACCACTTTTGGAATTTGCGATGTCGAAAAAGTGCACGCCGTTGTGGCGCGAAGCACATTTCGAAGTCAAAATGTTAAAAACACCAGGGTCTCGGACCACTTTTGGAGGTTCAGATGTCGAAAAAGTGCACGCCGCCAAGATCAACCTTGGCAGCTCTTGGTGGAGCTCTGCGGCTCAGCCATACCCTTTGGATGCTGATGGGGACTTCTCTCAAAGTCCACAGATCAGGGACAATCCAAGGGCAAGAGCAAGGGGAAGGGCAAGACGTCTGTGGTGCCGAAGAAGGAGTGACCACTGGCCAAGCTGAATCATCTCCTTCTCCGAAGTGGATGTTGCAACGCCTTGCACATTTGACGCTGGAGAACCCTGGAAATCTCTGCTTTGCCAATGCGGCCACTTTGGCCGTGATGTGGACCACACTGTCCACTCACACGTGGCAGCTGCCTTACTGGGGAGAACAATGCCTGGCTCTACAGGGCCTGCTTGCCAGGAATCATGACCTGTGCATCAATTTGCACAACACTGAATGGTTTCAGCACATTGTGCGTTGTTGGGGCGAGAGGGATCCCAATTTTGTTCCAATATCGCTCAGCAAGACGCAGCTGAGTATGTTGCCATGTGGTTTTCAATGCTGCACTCCACTGCGTTTGACATGAAATGGGAAAAGCGCCTGGAGGAAAATGATCTTGTGCGTGTTTTTGACACTGGCAGCCCTCACATCCCAATTTGCCTGAAGTTTGACACCCTGCTTGCACATACCACCACATGTGATTTGACACAGCTCTTTCGTGTTTGGCGTCAGGATGATGGAATGAGCACGGCCTTGACCACAGCGCCGCCGTGCCTCTGCATTCAAATTGACCGCAATGTTGCAGATGCTATGAACAATATCTATCGTAGTGAATGCATGATCCAGACAGATGAGCCTTGCCTTGTGCCAGTTTTCCATGACCGAACCCTGCAGCACGAGCTGGTTGAATACCATGTTGTAGCCCTGATGGCACACATTGGGACAGATCAGGCTGGGCACATCAGGCCGCGTTACGCCTGGCACCCTCCATCGTGCGCAACATCCGCCCAACGCACTGGCTCCTCACTGAGGATTGGAAGCAGCCTGAACCCATTTGGGAGATCCCTGGCTGGATGACACGTAATGCCACTCTGTACTGGATGACACGATCTGACTGCCTGCAGTTGTGGCCCTATCGACCCCTTGCCAGCGCCAACCTGCAGATCATGCTGACAGATGCATTGCGTGATTTTTGAATCCAGCTCCTCGCAGCTGAGCACAGCCAGTGCACTGACTGCCACCAATGCAGCAGAGACCTCTGCCAATTTTGCCAAAGAACAACTTTTCTCCAAAAGGTGGCCAGACACAGGCCAAACATGAGATGTTTTGATTTTCCAATCTGAGCGGCATAGAAGCAGGGACCAGATAGCTTCCAACATGGAACCATGGTAACATACCATGCTGGTCGGCACGAACCTTGACATGCAGTTGAAAAGGTGTGTTGTCAAAAAAACACACACACAGACAACACACACACAGACAACACACACACACAGACAACACACGCACACAGACCACACACACACAGACAACACACACACACACAGACAACACACACACAGACACCACACACAGACAACACACACACACCACACACCACACACCACACACCACACACCACACACCACACACCACACACCACACACCACACAACACACACCACACACCCACACCACACACACAAACCACACCCACACCACACACACACCACACACCACACACAACACACAACACACAACACACAACACACAACACACAACACACAACACACAACACACAACACACAACACACAACACACAACACACAACACACACACAGAACACGCACACACACAACACACACACAACACACACAACACACACACACAACACACAACACGCAACACACAACACACAACACACAACACAACACACACACAGAACACACACACAACACACACACAACACACACACAACACACACACACACAGACAACACACACACAGACACCACACACAGACAACACACACAACTCACACAACACACACAACACACACAACACACACAACACACACACAACACACACAACACACACAACACACACA